AATAATAATAATAATAATAGTAATTTTTCAAGTAAGATTGACTTAAGGGATACAGTGTTTGTCAAAAAAATGAACACAAGAGACAAGGCGCTTTCCAACTTCAAGAAGGTTTGTGGTTCTTCTTTTTAACTTTTAAGGCTTCTTATGAAAATTATTTCCATTCCTCCTAAATATCATTATTAATACAAGCAAGCTAGCTGCCCTCTACAAAATAGAGCCACTGACTAAGAAGCTGTGACCTCAGTGCTTCCTTGGATGTTTGTTACAGAAAACTACATTCGTTGGAATATTTCATATCAAAATATTTGTTCCTTTAAGACTATAAACTATCTTTGTCATAGGATATTGGCTTGTGAAATTTAATTCAGACAGTGCCTTTATTCACTCTGCTTTCATTAACCTCACCACTACATATGTAAATTCCCTTGCTAGTATAAAAAAATTATCAGACTCTAAGTCTAGCTCTTCTTCTTTATTTGTAGTTCAAAGAAATAGTCCTAGGAGCAGATTCATCTAAAAAACAAAGTGGAATTGCATTCTTTCATCATATGGTTGTATTTTCGTAAAATTAATAAACCCATGAAATAACTGGAAGATTGTACATCAAATCCTTAACTGTGATGAATTTCCACAGGTAGAGTTACATTGCTCACATTCTTTTTTCTCCTCTTGTTTACAGATGTATATTTTCCAATTTCTCCCACTGAGTTTTTCCCATTTTTTAAAAAAATAATTTCCAGCTTAACAGTGCAATCTTTTGTTTACCTTTCAATGCTTCCACTTTTCCAGACATTCCTTTATATTCTTTTTTAATATTTCTGATTCTGAAATAACAAAAGGGGTACTTAACCAATGCAGAAATGAAAATGGTACGGATCATAAACAAACCCTGGTTAGACCGAAAGACACTGTCAACCATTTCGTGTGAAATAAGTCTTCTGGAGCAAGAGCACCGTGCCCCCAAAATATGGTATCAGTAGCTATTATGGATTGCCTCGAGTCCCACAAAATAGATACCCACTATACCAATGGACACAATTCCATTTGGGGAGGAGCTTTCTTTGTTATGCTAATGAGGCAGGATCAGTGCACAAAGTGTCTTGAGTCAGTCTCTTTTAAGACACAAAAAGAGCAGGGTAAGCAAAGCAGTGACAAGGAAGATAGATGCATGCCACATGAAGATTACCAAGGAGCCAAGGAACAGACCGAAAAGAGAGGGCTTTCTCCCAGAGCCAACAGGAAGAAAAAGCCTTCCCCTGGAGCCAGCTCCCTACATCCAGGCTTCTAGCCTCCTAAACTGTGAGAAAATAAATTTCTGTTTCTTAAAGTCATCCACTTGTGGTATTGCTGTTATTGGAGTAGTAGGCAACTAAGACAATAGCTAACTCAAAAACAAAACAAAAAAAAAAACCAATGCTTATTTTTGATTAATCACTTCCCCTGAGATTGAAAATAAACAATAGCTCCAGAAAATTACATAAAACATTGCTGTTGTTGTTATTTGCTGTCGAGTCGGACCAGACTCATAGCGACCCCTCCTTGGGTTTATGAGGTAGTATCACTACAGAAGTAGACTGCCCCATCTTCCTTCCGAGGAGTGGCTGGTGGGTTTGAACCGCCAGCCTTCTGGTTAGCAGTCAAGTGCCTTAGGCACTATGCTACCAGAGCTCCCACATAAAACAAAGCAAGTGCAAAAATGTGTTTGCTGAATGAAGGATAAATTAAGGAGTCGACCACAAAGGGCAGAGTGACTTGGATGGCTTGAGGCAGAAGGGCTGGGAGGACAGACTAGCCAATGTGCAGAGTTCCCAGTTAACGAGAGGGCAAGGCCCAGCCAGACCACATTAGAGATGTCCTAACTAAGTCTATGTGTGATTCCTCTTCAATTTCAAAGTGAATCGGTGTCCAGTCTCCTTTTCTGAGCCTGAATCAAATGAAGGGAAAGGACACTTTTTTCCTCCAGAATGCTGACAGGGGAGGAGAAGTAGGGGGTAGCCATTTTTGGTGTTGTGGCACATACAGTGAGGCAGGGCTTTGCGTGTATCATTTTCATGAGGGAAGCTCCACTTAGGAGCAGCTGGTTGTTTCCAGATTTTCGAGATGAAGATGACCACTCTCTTCTGGGGCTGACATCTTGCCTGTGCTCTGTGAATGTTGCCCGAATGTTATAAGAAGGAACAAGATGGGCCCACAGATGCAGCCAGAGAAGGAGAATGAGGTGTCACCAGTGAGAGAGAGACAGTTGTAAATAAAAACTAGATATTTGCACAGAACCAGATTCTTGGTTCTGGTTAGAATGCTGCAAAATTCTTTCCATAGCCCCTGATATATGAAGTGTAGAGGCTGAGGGGAAGAGAAGCACAGAGACCTAGGAAAAAAGGAATGAATACTCTAAAAACGAATGTCATCAAGTCCATTTGAACTCACCGTGCGTGACCCAACATGCATTAGCTGTGCCTTGTAAGGTTTTCAATGGCTGAGTTTTCACCAAGCCTTTCTTCTGAAGTGCCTCTGAGTATACTCAAACCTCCAACCTTTTGGTGAGCAGTTGAGGGCGTAAACTATTGGTACCACCCAGGGACTCCATCAATACCCTCCAAAAAACCAAACTCACTGCCATTGAATCAATTCCAACTCATAGCGACCCCCATAAGTTTTCCAATGCTGGAAATCTGTATAGAAGCAGACTGCCTCATCTTTGTTCCATGGACCAACTGGTGGGTTCAAACTACCGTCCTGTTGGTTAGTAGCCAAATGCCTTAACTACTGCACAGGGGAGCTCTTGTGGCACAGTGCCTAAGGCACTTGACTGCTAATCAGAAGGCTTGCGCTTCAAACCCACCAACTGCTCCTCAGAAGGAAGGTTGAGCAATCTACTTCCGTAGTGACACAGCCTCTGAAACCCAAGGAAGGGTCGCTATGAGTTGGATTCTGACTCGACAGCAGTGAGTTAGGTTTTTTTTTTTTTTTTTAACTGAACCACCAGAGCTCCTTTCAATACCTTGGTACTGTCTATGTCCATATAAAATCAAGTTCAGGTGTTGGGATTGATTGGGATAGATTCAGCCACCCTCCCCGTGGTGGAGAAGGACAATGATGTTCCTAAGATAAGATCACTGTGAAGAAAGAAGAGTTAAGATTTGTAGGTTAGAAAATACACCCCATGATGGGTGGTAAAAACGCAGTTTTAGGCTGTTTTGCTGACTCAGAACCCGCTTTAATAGGACCTGAGTGTATAGCATCTTGTCACCAAAGGGCTGAAAGATTGGGTATCTATACTACTTTCCTACTTTGATGTGGAACTGGACAAGGCACCCACAATGAAACCCACAATGAAGCCAAAAGCTTTAGTGATGAGGGCTTGCATCAGATAGTTCTTCTTTTTTGGTTTGTCAGTGACAACAGGCCTCCAGTTTAGTAAACTATTCAGACCAGGAGGCAGATGCCCAGAGCCGACTTTGCATAGATTGGCCCGGAACCATGAGGAAGTCCTTTTCCTTTCTCTCCTTGGCCACTAAGCAGAAGTAGAACAAAGAGAAGTTCTGTTGTGGATCGTTGTGAGAAACCCTAAGATATTCTTAGATTGGATCCAAAATAACAAGATGACTTTGTTTTTGTGCTTCCAGCTGGTAAAGAAGGATGAACCAAACCCACTGCCACTGAGTCAATTCTGACTCACAGCGACCCTCATTGGGTTTCCAAGGCTGTAAATCTTTATGGAAATAGATTGCCTCAACTTTCTCCCATGGAGCAGCTGTTGGGTTTGAACCACCTACCTTTTGGTTAGCAGCCTTAACCACAGCACCACAAAAATCTACAGGGCTCCTGATTCTTGAGCTCAATTCTTGGGCACCAACCAAGTCAGAATCCTTGGGGGTAGGGTTCTGACAACATGGATGTTTTGAGAGCTCCTAATATGATTCAGGAGCTCTGGTGGTGTAGTGATTAAGGCATCTGGCTGCTAATCAAAAGGTCAGCAGTTCAAACCCACCAGCTGCTCCATGGAAGACAGATGAGGCCATCAACTTGTGTAAAGATTTACAGCCTTGGAAACCCTGTGGGGGTTGCTATGAGTCAGAATGGACTTGAGGACAGAGTTTGGGTTTTTTTTTTTTTTTTTTTTTTTTTTTTTGAGTCATACAATCTGTTGCAAACCAAATCCCATAAGAACTCTTCAAAGTAGATGTCACCTCATTTCAGAGAGAACATTAAGGTTCAGAAAAATTTGTTTTTCCAAGATTATGCATCAAATTAGAAAAAAATGTGGTAATAGGGCCAAGCCTTTCTGAATTCTAATTACTTGTTTTTCACACATATAGGCCAGACAAAATTATGGAGAAAGGGGTTCAGAGAATGAAAAAAGCAAGTATAAAAGAGAAGTGGGTCACCCAAGACAGAAGCAGGGAAAGAGATAAGATGGAAGATGACAGAGTGATATTATATGGAGCAAATCAAAGAGAATTTTCCTTTCAAGTATTAGTTGTGAGATATTGGTGGTGGCAGAAATGGAACAATCCAAGGTGATGGCCACAAAAACAACTTTCATCTTTTTTGCCTAAGACTTACTCTGCTATTGTCAGTTAATAGTTCTCTAGGTGGTGTAGTGGATAAGACACTTGACTGCTAACCAGAAGGTCAGTAGTTCAAAGCCACCAGCTGTTCTGCAAAAGGAAGACTGGGATATCTACTTCCATAAAGATTTATAGCCTCAGAAACCCAATGGGGGTCACTATGAGTCAGAAACGACTCAATGGCAGTGAGTTTTTTTTGTTTTTTTTTTTAACCTTTCACTCCTTATTAATACACTTACACATGTGGGTTACCTGATGGCTTCTTTTCCTTGGAATTCTGGGGCTACTGGTTCAAAGTAATCATCAGTGGAATTCTCAGGCTCTATTTCCTTCTCAGCAATTTTGTTTTCAGTTCTTTGGTGTTGGAAACAAGATGATGAGTTCAGGAAAAATAATGGAGAATAATGGCGCTCATTTCCACCTGCGTTATCAAGAGGCAATAGAACATCGGATCAGCATAAAACCCAATGAGCAAAGAAGGCTCAGTCATAATAGTGCAGAATGTCTTGCATTTTCAAGCATCAAAGATAAATTCTTTCCTTCCTAGCTTTACACTGAGGTGAAAATTTGGTAATGAAGTAAACAATGAAAACTCAAAGGGCAATAATATAGTATTTCAAAAGTTAAACCATATAGTAGAACTTTCAACAAGGTATAAATCAAAGTTTGAATAAAATGGCATTAAAGATGCTTAAAAGAAAGCATGAAACCAAATACTTGGAAAAATACAATGCCTTAACAGATGACCTATTGCACTGGGCAAATCTGCTGCAAAAGACCTCGTTACAATTCCGAAGAACAAAGATGTCTCTTTGAAGACTAAGGTGCGCCTAACCTAAACCATGGTATTTTCCATCACCTCACATGCATGTGAGAGCTGGACAATGTATAAAGAAGACCAAAGAAGAGTTGATGTTTTTGAGTTGTGTTGTTGGTGAAGAACACTGAAAGTACCATGGACTGCTTAAAGAACTAACAAATCTGTCCTGAAAGAAGTGCAGCTGTAATGCTCCTTGGAAGCAACAACATCCAGACTTCGTCTGACCTACTTTGGATATGTTGTCAGAAGGGACCATTCCCTGGAGAAGGATATCATGCTTGGTAAAGTGGAGGGTCAGCGAAAAAGGGAAAGGCCCTTAATGAGATGGATTGACACAATGGCTGCAATGATGGGCTCAGGTATAGCGAGTATTGTGAGGCTAGCACAGGACCGGATAGTGTTTCGTTTTCTTGTACATAGGGTCACTATGAGTTGGAGCTGACTTGACGGCACCTAACAACAACAACAATGTGGCACATAAAAATAATAGCAGGCATGTTTGTGAGCTTAATAAATCATTTGGGGAGTTCTGGGGGCACAGTGCCTAAGGCATTTGACTGCTAACCAGAAGGTTGGTGGTTCAAACCCACCAGCTGCTCCATGGAGGGAAGATAGGGCAATCTACTTCCATAAAGATTTACCACCTTAGGGGTTGCTATGAGTCAGATTTCACTCAATGGCAGTAAGTTTTTTTTAAGAAAGAAAAGAAATTACTTGACCACAGCAAAGCAATTTAATATCGTATTGAAACACAGGACTGGAAAGTATGTGGAAAAATTATATTTGTTTAAGAGAAATAGGTGGTCATTTTCCAGACTTTAAAAAATGAAATAGTATGTGATAATAAGGGCTTTCAGATATAAATCAGTATTAACAAAGACAGAAATAGATATGAATACATAGAAACATATGAGACAATCTTAAACACAGTCAATGTGGAAAGAATGCATAAAACAAGAAGACAAATAAATAAGAAGAATGTGCCAAGAAAAAAGCATTCTATACCAGTATGTATAAAGGAGTTCTTGGTCTATGTGAAACTTTTGGTTGTTTCCAAGAAGAAGAAAATCTAACTGGTTAATAAATTTCTGTAAATATACACAATATATGAAAAAATTGAAATTAATACTGAAAATGTATGATCAAATTTTCATTTCTGGTATTTCTTTAAAGGATGGAAAACTTCCTACAATGGTCCTTCTGGAAAAGACAGAAGGTAGGAAAACACTGATTATATCCCACTTAGGTCTCATCTAATTGTGTTAATTTACAGCCCACCTCACATTCTTGTAACAAAAGAAAAAGTGTTGATTAAAAGACACTTTCATAATATACTATGGAGTTCTGGTGGCGTAGTGCCTAAGGCATTTGACTGCTACCCAGAAGGCTGGCAGTTCAAACCCACCAGCCACTCCTGAGAAGGAAGATTGGGGAATCTACTTCCATAGAGATCCAAAACCAAAAGCCAAACTCACTGCCATGGAGGAGGATCTGACTCATAGCAACCCCTCCTTTGGTTTCCAAGGCAGTATCACTACAGAAGGAGATTGCAGCACATTCCTTCAGAGGAGTGGCTGGTGGGTTTGAACCACCAGCTTTCTGGTTAGCAGTCAAATGCCTTAAGCACTATGCTACCAGAGCTCCCTCCATAGTGATACTGCCTCGGAAACCCAAGGGAGGGATTGCTCTGAGTCAGGATCAACTCAACTCGACTGCAGTGAGTTTGGTATTTGTTTGTTTGTTTGTTTGTTTGTTTATGGCCCTATACTTGGCAAAACTATTTTAAGAATTAGTTTATTTCAGCTTGTTTCATTACAAATCTTAAATACCATTCTATGAAAATAGAGTCAATGATCCTTGAAGATGTAACATTATTTGATTATTATATAATTATAATATCTGTTACAATTATTATTATATAATTATAACATGACTTTATTAAAGTGAGAACAGTGATTGCTTTTACATTAAAATTCCTTCAGATCATTAAAGCTATGAAGTAGAAATAACTCATTCAGCTAGTTATTCTTCACTTCTTAAAATATATTTCTATAACACTAAGAAAAATTCTTCAGTGTAATCCGCACTGACAGAGGTCAAAGGAAAATTAATAATTACTTACAAGGTAAGATTCTGTCAAAGTATAACGCCAGTGCCAAGTAGAGAAGACCATCAAAAATCAGAATTAAAAAAGTTCCTGTCATTATGTATGAGTCTCCTGAAGGGTCAGGAAAAAGTACATCACTCAATTTATAATCCAGGTGGATAATCTAAGAGTCCGGAAAAAAAAAAAATGTTAAAGGAAATAAATAAAAAATAATTCAGTGTAGTAACAGGAATTATTATTTGACTAAATATTTGTTCAACAGGCCCTTATAATGTAGTCAAAATATTTATATTTTACTGAAAACATAAAAAAAATATTAGAAGAATCACTGACAAAAATATTATGCTCTAAGAATAGGAATTTAACTTGTAACTCTTTTGCTTATTTTCAAGAAATTATTACAATATTGTAAAATATCATTTCTATGCAAAAAAAATAAAAAATTTTAGAAAACAATGTGAGGACTTCTTTGAAGCATCTCCTTTGGATAATGATAAAAGAACTTACCTCCTTTTTCAGTTATCATTGAAAATAAAGATTTATATTTATAATTTTTCAATATAATAATATCTATACTTACAGGAAACTGTGTTCTAGGTACTATTCTAAGAGCTTTTCATCTCACCTAACCTTCCTCATAACTCTATAGGGTTGTTGTTGTTGTTGTTATGTGCCATCGAGTCAGCCCTGACTCATAGCGACCCCTCCTTGGGTTTCCGAGGCAGTATCACTACGGAAGTAGGATTGCCCAACCTTCCTTCCGAGGAGTGGCTGATGGGTTTGAACCGCCAGCCATCTGGTGAGCAGTCAAGTGCCTTAGCCACTATGCTACCAGAGCTCCCACTCTGTAGGGTAAGCATTATTATTTTTATCTTCATTTTACATGTGATGAAACAGAGGCAAAGACGGTTTGAACTTGACCAGCCAAAGTCAAAATCCCATAGAATCTGAATACAGGAAGAGCAGTTCCAAAGTCAGGGTTCTCACCCAACACAGTATCCCACCTCTCAATCTATGTTCAGAGTTTAACATTGCATGACAAGGTTGAGTTTATTCCAGGAATTCAAGGCTGAGCCAATTTTTGAAAATCAGTCCATTTAATACAGCGTAAAAGGAGAAAATTATGTGGTCAGCCTAGAAGCAGAAAAAGCATTTTATAAAATACAGTATCCACTCACAATAAAGAGTTTGCACTCATTGCAAACTAAGAAGAGAAAGGAGTTTTTGTAATCTGGTGAAGGAGGTGTACAAAGAACAATACCAAGCATCGTGCTTAATGGTGAAATTTGAAAGCTTTTCATTTGACTGCATTTCTAGTCAACACGTACTGGGGAGGAAAATAAACCATCATTATTCACAGGTTATATGACTATGTATGTAGAAAAACAAAGAAAAACACTGGACTTAGTAAGAGGATAGCAAGAATGCTGGGTGCAAGGGCAGAATACAAAAATCAGTTGTATCTCTCTATATTAACAGCAAGCATTTAGAAAATAAGAATTTAAACATTGATTCCACTTATAATAGCATCAAAGATATCAGATACTTAGGAAGAAATCAAATAAAATTGTGCAAGACCTCTACACTGAAAACTAAAACAAGCATTGAGGAATGTGGAAGAATACCTAAATGAATGCAAATATATGTATATAGTTTATGACCAAATAAGGTGCTATTTTTTCCAAAGTGAATGGAAAATTCAATTGTGTCAAAATTTCAACATCTTTGCACACACACATGCATGACTATGTGTAACTTGATAAACTAATACTAACATTTATACAATTGCAAAGGACCTAGAATAGACAAGACTCTCTTGAAAAAGAAAAAATATATATATATGGAAAACTATCTCTGGGTAGGAGCTCTGGTGGTGTAGGCCTAAGGCATTTGACTGCTAATCAGAGGGCTGGTTGTTCAAACCCACCAGCCACTCCTGAGAAGGAACGTTGGGCAATCTACTTCCATAATGATACCACAATCTACTTCCGTAGTGATACTGCCTCAGAAACCCAAGGAGGGGTCGTTATGAGTCGGGGCTGACTCAATGGCACATAACAACAACAGAACAAGGAGGGATCACTGAGCCAAATCCGACTTCATGGAAGTCCATTAGCTCTGGGTGGCACAAATGCCATTTTTGTTATGTGCTTTTTTGTGGTGTTGATTTCTTTGTTCCATATAATTTTCTATGCTGAGCTCATTTTGCTTATGAATCATGTTATCACTTCCTTCATTGCTATCATTTTAGTATTTGCTGAATATTTATGCTGGTCCTCTTTTTTGATGTGAAGGTTTATCATTTTTCTTTAAGGTTACCCTAAGATTTATAGTTTTCTTCCCAAGTTTAGAACAATTCCTTCTATCTTGTAGTTGTCTTGACTTCCCTACCATCTAGAAGTTCTGTAACAACACAGTTTTTCCCCTCTTTTTGGTTTATAGTTGTCCTCATTTGTCAATTGATGTCTCTGGTTCCCTGTTTACAATCTTGTAGGCTTATTTACATTGAATACTTCCAGAGCTGGGTTGGTTTCTGGGGTATAT